AAGTTTCATTAAAATCTATTCACTTTTAGTATAAAAAATATTTACCAAAACTATTCAAAGAAATAGCAAAGTTGTACAATTTATAGCATTGCAATCTCTGATATTTCTTCTGTAATTGGGAACAAAGTTTATTGCATATCCTCTTTCCTAATCAATAGACATCATAAATATGAAATTGTAAAAAATTGCACTTGTAAATATTAAATCTCTTTTATATTCAGCTTGTTTATATTATGCTGCGTGGTATATTATGTACCGACTGGACATATGGCATATGAATAGCGTATACTTGAAAAACTTACTGAAAATATCGAAAATTCCATCGATGCTTATCAATCGTATGCTTTAACGTGTTTCTATTTATCTTTCTTGGTAATAAAAACATTGATTGAAACCATTTTTTCAAAAAAAATTTAATAAACTTGTGAAATATTATTGCCAATTAACAATCTTATTATAATTATAATAAATATTGTAATTATATTAATATTGTGTAATTATATTAAATTAGAATAATTTGGAATTTTTGTATGAGAAATAAAATTCATATTTTTTTTCGTCGTCTATGGCGTCGGATAATCGTTTTGATTTTCAAAGATACGCGGTTAGATAGATAAACGTCTATAAGATCATCACTTTTATTTCTTCAATCGAAGACGAACTTATAGGTAAAAGGAGAAGGAGTGAATCTCAGATTGGAAAAGTACATTAAGGATAGAGCACCGGTAACTTTGGCAATTTCGCGGTGCGATCAGGGCATCGTGATGCTGTCGGCCAAGAAGTAAGTAAGCCGCTTTATTACCAGTTGGTCGAGAGTTAAGTTCTCTTTTTAAACCTCTCGAATCTTCTTTACTGGTTCGATTAACCTTCCGCCCGTGAAAGACGCTAAATAATAGACGATTTCTCTCTCAGCTTCTAGAATTCCAAATAACAACTTTATGAATTGAAAAATGCTAAAAAACTTATATTCAACTAAAAGAAAGTATCGAGTTTAAAAGTTAGGAATCTATGGAAACCACATAAATATACTTGAAATTCATTTTAAACTACTTTATTGATTGGATGCAGACGACGTGCAAATATATAGAAAAACATATTAATATTTATTACTAATTAGTAACAACTTTAAGTATACCATATGTAAATTCGTTAATTACTTTTTTGCTTTGTTGAAATACAAAAAATGCTATTAATTCCCTCTTGCGACCTTAATGACTGTTAGTTAATATTGTAGAATTAAAACGTACATATTTCTCTTCGTTTGCTTTACACAATTACTTTAAGAAAGAAATTACATTATTTTCAAGAAAAGTTAGAAAGAGAGAAAGAAGGAAAGAAAGAAGGAGATTTAGAACAATATTATTTAAGTAGCCATTTATATAAATTCCAACTGAGTGAGACGAATAGCTGCATTTAAATACGAGAGAAATAAAAATGAGGATTCTTGCATTTAATATCGAGCAGCATGGGTTCCGTGGTTTTGCTTTTATCGCGAACTACTCCACCGCAAGAGGCTTCCCATCGAAGCTAATACTTTTCACAGTACTCACATACTACCAACTCTTTTCTTCTATCGCGAATTGTTTCCTCCCCTTTTTTATTTTTATACCAGCTCGGGAAAATTAAAAATGAGACTGCGTTTGACATGTAACAAATTGTTTTTCACCGCTCCGTTCCGGTGGTTCAGCTTTTACCACGGCCCGATATAATAAATCGGGAATCTAATATTTAAGTACGTGGTTTACGAAGCTACGACTAGATTAATGATATCTTCGAAATGTCAAAGAATAATGGATTTAAATTAACCTTTACCGAGCCGTAGGTGAAAATTGCCAAGTTACACGCGCAATTATCGTTCATTTTGATTGAGCGTTTATCAATATTGAACATATCATTGTTTAAACACTTTTACAATGAGTATACAACCGCCATTGTAATGTTTAAGAGAGATCGATCCTTTTTAATTCCATTTTATTTGATTTCATTTTGTTAATACTTTAATGGTAATTCGTAGGAAATGGAGGTTTGTGACTTTTCGGTTTTAAGAGGCGACGACATTTCAGAATGATCATCGAATATTTTGGAATGAATGGTCGTCTATGACAAATGAAGGAACTTCCGTCGTTCGATTCGAGTATTTTCACAAGGCAACTTTCGATGAAGTTTTAAACGCCGGTCTAGCGACAGGCACGCGGATTATGAATTCGAATCATCAAGCATTATCGGATAAGAAAACTTTAGGTACTTACTTTGAAGCCTAAAGATTTTCGTAATCAGGGTGACCGTTGTAAGAAAACTTGAAGAGCTACGAATTCTCAAGAAGTTATTAAAGTCTTTATTATATAAACGTCTTTGCGTTATCTGAAATAATTTCTTTCACCAAATCCTTCATGCATTTTTTGTCACAGGGGAAAAAATATGTAAGACCACATTTTTATAATTTTGTGTCTTGCATTTTCACTTATTTTCATATTCGCAGACGATATTTATTATCAGTATTATTTGCGAAATTATTTTACTTTAGTATCAATTAGAATAATTATTCTCTAATTCTCTATTAATCGGCTTAAGCTTTGAAATATTCACATTTATTAACATATTTGCTTTTCTTTTGCATTTATGAGATAAGTTTTAATATCGTTGTAAAATAACAAACATTCTTTAAAGTTCTTCGTCGAAAGATTATTTTATTTTTTATTACGCCCTTATATAACAAAAGAAACAGTAGTTACACAGATATTCATTCGCTCTCTCTTTTATAATAAGTTTATTACAATTTTTGCGTTCTTTGAGAATACGTTTTTATTATTTATATGAAACAGTTCAAACTAAAATATTACGTTTTCGTGCTCTCTTTAAAATGATTATAATTGACTATAGAAAGATAATCTCGCGATAATGTTTTAAGCGGCTTTCGTAAAAGAGAGCATTTTCCAAATTCTTTTGATCTTGTCAAAATCGCGCGCTTTGGTATTATCAAGTAATTTTTTTTTTATATTCTTTGTCTGATTATTATTTCCCTTTCATCCCGTGCATATCCATGTTTATTTTTTATTCCTCTTCTTCTACGTTTCTTACTCTTTTTCTTCCTTTTCAAGTTTAGCTCACATTATGGAAGATTTGCTTATCGCGCTGGGGAAAACGGTTTGGCTCTATGCCAAGCACATCTTTCGCATCCGTCGTAATTCAAAATGGTCTGTTCTTTACCTTCATTCCTCTCTCTTTCCTTCTCTTTCTGTATGATCTCTATATACGAAATAATTAAATTTCTCGACGAAACTTCGGAGATTGGCCCGAAGACGTTAATAGGAGGAAATTACGAATCTGCCCTTTCTCTGCTCGTATGACGACTTCTACAGATTATCGATTAAAAGTTCTTTTAAATAATACAACAAAAAAGGAATCTCAATTGCGTGTGTGTGTGTGTGTGTGTTGCTTATTTCTTTTAAAATAAAAATTATAGAAAAACATAAATTTTGAGCAATGTATTGAATTTTTATATTTAAAGAGAACCTTTTTTTTTATAATCATTCATCAGAGTATTTAATGTTTATTAATGAAGTATAATTTCTTAATATTATTATCGTATTGTTTTCTTACAAAGTGCCGATGTTTCTTTTTTTTGTATTCCTTTAGTAAATTATCAAATAAACTATAGGAATTTGTACCGTACGGTAATCTATATTGAACGTATTAATAATGAGTCGAACTATCGTCCACTTTTGTAAACCTTCCTTTATTACCGCTATTATCAATTTATGTTACGTAAAATCAAATGTTACATGATCCATCTATCTTTCGTGTAAACTACATCACTCTATAGCCCGCTAGTTTGATGATTCAACGATGCAATTTGAATAGATGAATAGATCACTTCTGATTTTGTGATTACTTACAAAATAACTATTTCCGATTGTCCAAAGCAAGAACATAATGTATTTCCAATGTTCATTAAATTTCAATTTTCAATGAAAATGCCTTGATCTAAAGTCCTTTGATCAAGTTAACTATTCTTGTAATAAAGTTTGGAGACACTTTAATAACGCATGAATTCTGATAACGTACATATTTCATTTCATTTATGTATTATAATAATAAATGTAATCCCAAAAATAAATGGATGATAGTTACATAAAATAAAACATTTGATCGTCAATTCTCTCCAAGATGTCACGAGATGAATTGAAAATTATTTTTCGTCTACCGCAGTAAAACGCGAAAGCTTACATTGCATGCTAACTCAGCAAGAAACTCATCTGCCTCCCAATGAGAAATCGAACACTGCTTTTCGTTGGCCGTGTAATTAAGGACATCGTTAAATGCGAGATCCGATTTATCTGTGACGATTACCTCGCGAAGTTATCCTCCCTCTTTCCCATCCGTTTTGGTGAGAGGCAAATCTTCTAGGAGTTTCGATCAGTTCCTTGGTAGGTTTGTTACTTTGCAAGCCGTTGCACCCGTGAGAGAAAGCTTGAATGCGATTATAACGAATTCGTTAGCTAAACTTGGACGAAGTAAGTACTTAAATCTGCTTTCAATGATAATGGAACTGGAAAGTAAAATGTGGAGACTTTTGGTAAGAATATGGTAAATGTCATCAAAAATTTCACTCGAAATCGTTAAAAGATTCTTTTGATTAGCTTAGATTCCTTGTTGTGTTAATTAATTTAGGAGCGTGTGGTTTTCCTAACGAAACTACCGAAAGTTCTTACACTTCAATTAGAGTTTCTACTTCAGCAAAGACGAACATTTAATTAATGGCAAATCACAGGACTGATTGTATCTGCTATCGATACTAATTGAATATTCTTCAAGCGGCCTACGTTTAATTAGACATAGGTAAATAAGTACTTCGGAATAAGGATAGGTATATACGTCATTTAGAACTTTGAATTAGTTTTACGTCTTATAATGAAATTAAGGAAAATTATTTTTAAAATAAGATCTTTTCTTTCTTGATATTGCGTTATTTATACTTTATTCTTCTTTTTCTTTTATAGGAAAAACCAACTGGGCAGAAAGTAATCCACCGTCGGTATTCACTTGTGAGTTATTTCTTTGTTTTTTTTTTGTTTTCTATTTAATGCTTTTATCAATTTCATTTTTAACTTTAATATATGACTATATACGATTTCCATCATATTTCATGAAGTATACACACATACATTATCTTAGTATATAAGATATATCTTATGTATATTACGTGTAATGCAATTACGGAATTATAAAAAATAATACTGAAATAATGCAAGTATAATGAAAATGTATTATAAACAAAAATACGCTTCCGCCTTTCTCACTTGGAAAGTTACTCATAAATGTCCGCTACTGTCGGATGTCCTTGGAGAGTCAGTACGTCGTATAAAAATTTTAATAATGTTTTATTATATGCACACCAACGGATATTCTTTCGGCAAATATAACCTCGGTAAATTCATGTCTGCATTAGTACCTACTCGTTTCTACTTTACACTTGACACGAACACAAATATTAGTAGTTCGTATCGTAAAACCTTCTCAAAGTGAAGTTTCCATAACATGTCATAAATTTGCATGTACCACGTACAAAATTGGTAATACAATTATTATATTAAAAAAAACCGTGCCTGAATATAAAATTAATATTATGTTTTTAACATTAAGTTCAAAAGATTCATTTAATATTGGAATAATATTAGGAATACATGTTATTAGGAATATTGGAATAATATTAATAAATTACATGTTAAACATAATGAAAAATATTTCCTAGTAAGCTTAATATGTGATCATAAGAAATTCTCTCTGAAATTTATCGATTATCTACTAAACTTTAAATCTTTAACTTTTAAACCGTATTATCGAATTCGCAATTGTCCTAATCGCTTTAACGATCAAAGCGAAATCTGTGGCACGTTTTGTTCGAAAGCAAAATCATACGAATGATAATATACCTACGTGCGTTCAATATATCTCTAAATTTTGACATCATGTTCGATAATTTGCGATGTTAATCCCCGATGGTAGATAAGTAGTTCACGTTTCTTGGTCACCGACTTTCACGAATAGCACACTCTAAAATCTCAGAATAGTAAACAGTGCCTGAAGCAGTTTTAAGGGTTAAAATCCGCGTTCTTCTTATATTGGCACGTGCTCGAAAAAGTGACGTTTTTCTCTACATATTCACCATAAAAAGCTCGTTACAATAGTACTTGGCAGAGTTTGCAATCTCCTTCAATATGGCCATTTACGACGAAAATCTTGTCTTCATTTTCTTTCCTTCTACTTTCTTTCTCTATTTATTTCCTTTCTTAAAAAAGGATTTATCTCCTTTTCTTATCATATAGAAAACAACAATAATGATTTCTTTTTATAATATTTCTCCTCGATTTAATCAATAATTTAAATATATATATATATATGTAAAATTTATTAAGTATTTTTAAATTTTATTTTATTTAATATTGTTTAATAATGACAGAAAACACTGCCTCTCTGTTCCCTCTCGAATTTTCTCTTACCATCACATATATGATATTAGTTAATGGACATCATTTTAACGGAATGATATAGCAACATTGTTGTGTTGTCAAAAAAAAAAAAATGTGATCAATAGTGGAATTTTAACTGATAGGGGAAGAGTAAAAGGAAAAGGTAACGAGAAAAACGAAAGGAAGAGAAAGAGGGTGAAGCAAACTCGGCCGGCAGGTGGGTTCCATGCGTGTGACTTAACGCGAGGAAGAGCTTTTTTTGTGAAATACGAAGATTAATCGTGCCAACGTATTGTTCGAAAAAAGATCGACCAAAAAAAATAAACAAGTAGAACGTAGTAGCGTTAAAAGTCGGTGAAAGAGAGGCAGGATTTTCGAGCGATGGGGAGAATTCGGTTCCTACTCAGCGATATATACATTATAAATCTTCTTCCCTTCTCTTGTTCCTCCATCCTCCTCACGATGGTTCGCTTGTACTTGCGTTACAATCGTGACGGTCGAGAAATCTCGTCTTTTCTTTTTTTTTTTTTGTACTATTTTTTTTTTATTTTTTTTTTTTTTTTTTTTTTTGGTTTTATCATTCACGTGGCATTGAATTCCGAAAGATATAAAACGCATAACATCGTTCGAAACGATGCCATCCTGGATGTGTTCTATTTCGCATGAATATCGAACACGGCACCGCGAACCGGACAGAAAATCCGTTCGACTTTTCTCGATTATGAATTATTACCTATACGATGGGCCCCATGATATTTTTATAGGCGATCGTATTTCGTTACTTTTACCATTTCCAATCTTTTTCTACATTTTTTTCATCTACATCGTCATTCTCTCCGGGCGTTTGAAATTTTTAGTATTCTTATTCACGACACTCTCTTCACTTCGTTAGACTTTTATAGCATCGCAGTATTCTTCCTTTTTCTTTTTCTCGTAATTTAATCGCTCAATTCGGATGTGAATCGCATTCAAAACTTTCGTTACCGACTTATATGCATGTTTTATTATTTCTATATTTTATCATATATTTGATCATAGTTGATTTCTTTCTCTCATTTTCACTTAATAGAAAGCAACTTTCTTCTCAACGGAGAGGAAATATTTTCTAATAACACCAATTTTTTTTTTCCATTTTAATTATGAATATGCAAACAGAAGACTACACCATCGAGTTTCCTTTGACATTGGATAATTACGATTAATTATCGTTTTATTAATAATTATCGCACGATTAATTACATAATTTATATTTAATGATACACGCTTGTAATATAATTAGAAAAAGTTTTTCATTATCGCGTCTATCGTAAATCGAAAGATTCTTTCGAAAGACTGTTCCTCAAAAATCCTATTTTTTTAAATATCACTATATCTTACGTTCGATCGCATGCTTTATTTCAAATTTGTTACAAATTCTAACACGGTGATGAGTTAATAAAACTAGTATAAAATAATACTCAATTATATTACTGTATTACAGAAATCTCGTGAGAAAATTCTTTAATTTGTCAAACGTCCGCGATATAACATATAAGCTTGTTCTTGTTTTATCGAATATATACGAAAGAAAAGGTAAATAATTGGATTGACAGTAGCGATATGGTACATGACAAGGATGATAAAAAATAATCCCAATAAATTTGAACTGTATGACCACGGTATACCAATTACAGATAGCATCGATACAAGCGACCGATATGCGCATTTTTTAATAATACTTTATTACCTTTGTACGCGAAGCTTCTGCGATCCTTTTGGCATGGTACTACCAGTCGTAACATCACGTTCCCCTGAAATTAATCTCGCACGCGCTTAGTACAAACAAACCGACGAGAAAAAAAGAACGAAAATAGAGAACAAGAGGATGGAAAAGAGAGAAAGAGAGGAATTAATAATACTTGGTATTCGACTATAGCGTAACGAGCGCAAGCGCACACGCAAACACGCATGATGGAGTTAACTAGAGTGGGTATATATGACGGACCGCAACACATACATGTACTCCGAACGATGACAGTGACAGTAATATTGGCTGTGGTGGTAGTGGTTGCGACTGTATATTACATTATTAATAAACTGAATATAAACTCTGTGACAAAATCACACGCAAAATGCAAAATGCAAATGAGACATTAGTCATTCCTTTTCCGTATATAAATCCATTGGTTGTGTATGCCACACATTGTAAATTACATACGGAGGACACAAAGGATTAAGAGATAGAAACACAAATGAGATGAAATTAACGAGGCAAGCGATATCGTAGTAAAGATGTGAGAAGATAAGAGATAAGTAAAACTATAAAAGAGAAGGAGAGAAAGCCCACGCAACTCCTATCGAAACTGGTTATCTATTTAAACACATATAACATACTGTTCGTGGTACGCCCACCACCCCTAACGGACTCCTTCACGTAATCTTCTCTTCTTTTCCGTCGGGCGGAAATAACGTCGTCCTGTGGCGAACGGAACCACCGGATATCGTTCACTCGGAGATTGTATGAAGGATCAATTCGATTTTACTCGTTATTTTTAATTTTATTCCTTTTCCACACATTCTTCAAATAGTTATTAACTTCTCGAAAAAAAAAAAAAACATTCAAAATATCTATTGTCGAATATAAGGCTACTTAATTTCTATGATTAAAAATTTCTGTATTAATGATAATCTCATTTAAATGTAATTATTTCATATATTGAAATTTATCATTTTATTTTGTGTAACATTTATGAGTTTATATTAATCGTTTTAGTGACATCAAAAATTTGGATATAGTATACTTGATATTTTTTGTTATTTTTTTTATAATATAATATCACTATTTATTTCGTTTAATCCAGAGAAATGTATCTCAACAAAGTTTGACAAGAAAAGCGACAGATAAATATCGATAAAAGCCACGAGATCCGAAAGAAAATGTATCGTTTATTATCTGCTTTCGACGTTTTATTCTGTTTTTTTGGCAACGTCATCGACGGCTACTATTTTTTCTCGTTCACGTACCAATTTCAAATTATTCAAAAAAAAAAAAAAATAATACGAGATTTAACAAGGTATTATAATTTTGAATAACCTGCTTTTTCATAATAACGGACTTTAATGAAGAATAAACCGAGCTTGTGTAAAGCTTATCGCATTTTTCGCGAAGCTATACATTTTTCTGATGACCTGCTATCGAAATTTTTATCAACGCGGTTATCGTATCCGTTTACTCGTTTTTTTTTTTTTTTTTTTACTTCTTTTTTATCTTTTAACTCTTTAACATCGTTACATAATTTTACCGAAACAACTTTACTTTACACGAAAATTTTAAATGATCGGGATTAAAAGAAAAATAATCTAACGATCATTTACTTAATTTTATTAAGCGTTTTTTCTTCAATCCTTTTTTAATCTTAAGCCTTCCTTTACCTCGTGGGATTTCTGAAATAATGTCTTCCCACCAATGTACCTGTTTTCCGTGTCGTTTTTTCTCTCACTCTTCTTCTCTCGGCGGGCTGTAAAAGAGTCCCAAGCGAGCACCTTCCTACTATCTTCACGTAGAATCCCATTTTTACGTAGAAAGGCTATCTAAA